CTTGGTCCACGTTGGTCTGAGGCTTTGGCCCTGCTGCAGCTTTGATCTTTCCCTCCAGAAAATCCAGGTCTTTCAAGAAAGCCACATTGGCTCCTACCCAGCTGGGAGCTGCAAGTCGGCTGAACGGACTCAGTGTGTTGGCCTGCTTGTTTTTCTGGCAGATCGAATACTGTGGTTCTGGCAGGCCCGTGAGTAGCCAGCTCAGCTTTGTTCGATTCATGTCCATGGCCGTCTGGTCCACATAGACCAGCCCTCGTGACGCTACTGCCATGAGTTCCACATTGCCAGACCGGAACCCGGTTTCCCAGGCCCAGGCCCACATGTAGGCCTGCTGAATCAAGGCACGGTTTTCGCCCAGCGGTGATCTCTTCTCGACATAGTCCCGCATGAGGCCCGGACCTATGCTGGTCACTTCCAGGCCCAACTCTGTAGCCGCATTTTCCGCGACCACAGTAGCCACCTTTCTCGCATCCGTGAGCAGCTTCACATAAGCTTCTCGAGCCATGCAGCCTTTTATCCCAGCGTCGCCCGTGCTTTGCGACTCTGACCCCCCACTCAAAGCTGCACTGATGGGGTCTTTGGACTGGGTGAGTTGAGCCTGCTGCTTTGAGAGCATCGCCATCTGGCGCATCTGCAAGTACATGAGCTTCTGCATGGGATCCGTGAGAGCCCCTTCCAGCTGCTGCAGGCCATCTTCTACTTCGGCCTCCTCTATGGCCTCTAGGCCGGCTTCTTGCTGGAGGGCCTCCATTCCTGGATGGCTCTGAGAAGCAGCCCTCTGCCTTTCGTGCGCTCCTAACCTCATAGGCGCAGAGCCTGCCAACCCCTGCAGCTTTGCCAAGGTGGAGGCCACGTCCGAAGGACCTGCATGAGTGGGAGGTCCGTCGAAAAGGACACCTCGACCTGTAGGTCGAGCAGGTGATGCTTTTGGCACGGTCTCCAAAGCCCGAGATGAAGGAGGACGCACATGTTGTTGGAGCTGAGTCTCCAGCTCCTGAACCCTCTGGCGCAAGATGCCAAGCTCGTCCGAAGGCGCCTCTCCAAGATCGACTGCTTCTGTTTGCTCCCATCCTGGCTCCAGGCCTTCGGAGTCGCCAGTCACATAGTCCCCTGCAGTGTCGTCGTCCATGACTTCGTGCACCCAATGATCTGAAGCACCGATGAGCGCAGATCTTCTTGGACGACATGGTTGGTCTCCCACAGTGAACCTCAGAATATCGTAGGATGCAGGGTTCCGAAGGGAATGAACTTTGATGAACAGGCGTGACAACTCCCATGGCAGATCGACCAGCAACAAAGCCCCCTCGCCCAACGCACGGCCTCTGTTTGTTTCCATCAAGGCTTCTGTCTGGTAGATGGCGCAGAGCTCCTGACCATCGGCACCCTGTTGCTCTTCCAGGAATCGCCCAACCTCTGCAACATCGGGAGCTGCGATCATGAAGCCACCGGAGCGGATCTTGACCAGGTAGCAAAAGGCGCGGTCGCTGTGTCCACTCTCTCTCTGGGGCATCAGCAAAAACACCCCTGGCAAGGGGCCTGTAGGCAAGAGAGACTCCCACAGACCCCGGAGGTAAGCCTCGTCTAGCGGCGCCGGGGCAGCATGGGAGGCCATGCTGACTGGGCACCAATGATGTAGGCTTCAGCTTCCGCCCTGGATGCGAAAGCGTGGCTCACGGAGTCGCCGTGCAGGTCGCCTCCGCGGCCTTGCACTTGATCTCGATAGGTCAAATAGTCGTCCGTCCAGCCTGAAGAACCGGTTGGAGCGGGACGGAGGATGATGTAGATCTTGGTGGGCAAAGTGACAGCGGAAGGGCTACCACGCGGCCACCGTCCAGTTTCAATCCTCGCTCGAGCTTGGACACCTGCTCGTAGGGCTCGTCCAAGGCGAGCCAAAGGTGACCAGTTGTTGCTAGTCGTCCTGATCCTGGGCAAGAGGTGCTCTACAGGGCTAAGATCAAGGGCCAAGACACTCGAAGGCGTCACAGCTCGAGTCAACAACTCCTCCCACTCTTCTGTCCAAGGAAGAGGACGAGCTGGCTCGGCGTCAACAGCAACCCAAGACTCAGTCTCTGACGGAGCTGAGGTTTCAGGGCCTGAAGCCGCAGGCGCCCCTTCGGGGCGAGCAATTGCACCTGAAGGAGGGGAACCTGGATGATGTGAAGCACTGGATCGATAACCTGAGTCCGTCCTCGAGACTTGGATTCTAAGGTCACCTAGCTGGACTGAGAGCTCTTCAACCTCCCGGTCAGCCCTCATGCAAGGGCCTATACTGAGCAAATCTTCGCCTCAGAGCGTCCGGCGGGACAGGAGGATCAACCACTAAAGCCGAGGCGCAGGTTGCTCCAATCCAACACAAAGCTCTGCGAAAGGAGCTTGACACGAGCGCCAGCACCGCAAGGCCACCGCAGCAACAGCCACAAAGGAAGCCAAGCAGGGCCAGCAACAAGGCGAGAGGAAAGCCCACTCCCGCAGAGCAGCCCGAGGTAGGCAAAGCCCAGCGGATCTCACGAACAAGATCCAGCGCGAAGCCAAGAGACATCCGCCGGGGCTCGGGCCCAAATGTTCTTGAGCGAGCCACTGACTCTTTAGGCTTAGGGATAAAGTGACATATCCAAAGCTGCGGGGAACCCTAAGCCAAGTATCAATCAGCTTCAAATGCCCGTACCCCTGAAAACTTTTGAACATATGTAGAATGTTGCCTTGCTGTCTATTGTTTTCTAGGACCTCTAGGAACGGCGTTGCACCCTGCCCACGCACAAACAAAACCAAAGCAACCACCTCAAAAAGACTCCAACCAAAACAGCACAACAAAAAAGACTCGCACAGCCTAAAATATGTGAGACCTTTGACTTTAACCCAAATTACAGGCGCTGCACCCTCCCCACAACCTGCCCCAACCGCAATCCAAGCCAGTCCAACACCTAAACGGCCCTAACAAACCTAAGTGGTTGGCCAGTGGCGGCACAAAGCACTGCAACAAACACAGATTACACGGGTGCAGCTTTGTCCACACGTCTGCAAACGCAATCTACACAAGCAGCGGCAGGCACTGCCGACAAGAAAGTGGAAGCCATCGCTACTAGGGTGGAGGGCATTGCTACTGGGGAGGCCATCTGTCCACGATGTGGTCAATTTGGCAAGCCACCAAAGAACATGTTCATACGCCCCTGGCATCGCTACTAGGAGCAAGGACGCTACTAGGGGCTCCTGGCCTTACTACTAGCGTGCTTGCTCCTAGGAGTTTTACAATTGCCGAGTATCGATTCGAATCATTGACTTGTGGGGCTGGGGGAGTATCTATTCGAGTCATTTTTCAAGTATATACCTTTATAAAGAGGGAGGTGGGGATTAGTTGCAGACATACATTCTGTAGAAAGTGCGCTAGACGCCTGTCATGAGCTATATGACTCTGCACCGAGTCTTGCTCGAAGGGCAAAAAATACGGTATGCCTGCTTTGAAGAGCACTTTTTGTTTAGCAAAAAAGAATGTGCAAAAAAGAATCCTGCGCAGCTGCAGCGTTCGCTTTTCCGACAACTCATTTTCTTGAGGCAAGGACATGCACAGAACCGAAAACACTTCCCCATACACTTAACCAAGCCAAAGGCTTGGCGGATTTAGACTCGTCACGGCACGGTTGGGAACCCTGTGGACTTTGTGCTTGTGTCTTGTCAGCTTCAAAAACACTTTTTGGCGTCTATTGTGTGTTGGCATCGTGTCAAAAGCAGCAAGAAATGAGGTTTGGGGCGCGAATAGCACGAAAATTGTTGAACCTTCTTGATGCTTGTTTTTCAGTAGTCAGTGGTTTGAACTGTCGGGCAGCAGCCTCACAGAATCAACCGGAACTGCCAGCAGCTCTTGACGAGCTTGAACTTCTCTAAGTTCAGCCGGTGTTTTTCTTGATAACTAGTAGCTTCTAGCTACTACTAGTAATGCCCCTTGTTACTAGTAGCTTCTTGCTACTATATTTCGCGACAGCACATGCTTCTCCAAGACACCGCACTTCCTGTCCAACAGCCGCATGCTTGCTTCTGCTGACCCTTCTGTGGTCTTTCCGCACAAGCGTTTGCAAAACATTGCCAAACTACATTTTGGCACCGCCAGCTTAGCTTGCAAGCGGAATGAAGATTTAAGTTCATGAAACAACCCTCAAAGTGAAGCCCACGTAAAAAGTGCATGAAACGAAAAGGAAATGTTTACGTTGATGATCCTGTACCGACTTCAAGAGTGACAGTACACAACCACATGTGCGTATGCGTGTGTGATCTGACACTGCCTAAAAAAGGATTTCTTTGGAGTACATTTAAAACAAACAGCTTAATGAGCAGTACTTCAACATAGCGTGTAACCCAACGCACAGCATTGCCAAATTCTTGACTGTCGAGGTTGTAAAGCTTCTCCTGCCTGCTCCAACAATATGCGAAGATCTCTTTGGAACTCTTGCCGCTCCTCCGTGGACGCCTTGAGGCAAGGAGCGAAGTTCAAAGACTTTGAAGCAATGGCCTCCAACCTGCTACTAGCATCCTTGCTCCTAATAGCGATGCCAGGAGCCCCTAGTAGCTTCTTGCTCCTAGTAGTAAGGCCAGGAGCCCCTAGCGTCCTTGCTCCTAATAGCAATGGCCTCCAACCTACTAGCGACTTTGAACATTATCTGAGGACTTTGAATACTATTTCTTCAAACGCCTCTCCAAGGTCAGCCGGACGTAGGCTGCAACCTCGACACGCGAGAAGCTAAGGTCGGACATCAAAACACTAAAGTCGATAAGAGGAGGGATATGATCCACACATGGATACGTGTAGTATCACACATGCGCTCCACAAACCTGTGCTGTGACAGTATGGAGCGCAACAAGACAAGCTAAAAGGAACTCCTGCAGCAAAGGCTGCAGCATAGGATAGAAAACTATACAAACTGTCATGATCTGTCGTCTGTGACTCAAGCTGCAAATGCTTGGATGATTCGATATGCTTGGTCACCTGTGAAATCCTGCCTCGCTCAATCTCAAAGCTCAAAAGGCGGAACACCCTCAGAGGGCGGCTGCAGCTGTTCCAGGAGAATGATCAACTCCGTCTTCTCGGTGACACCCTTCACAGGCCACCCACCAAGAGCGCAAACCATGCACCACAACGTGACGAGGACCAGGGCACCAGGGCAGGAGTGCAACAACCCAGCCAAAACAACTCGTCACACCAGTGAAGGACGATCAGCTCGCCACAGCGGCCACGGCAGCAGCCGAGGCCGGTGTGCCAGGAGACCGGAACCAGGTCCGCCGCCGGCGCTGCAGGGAGCGGGCCGCAGCCCGGCAGAGAACAATGGCAATCTTGCGAACCATGTCGGCGAACACCAGCTCGGAGTCGCACTCCTCAGCGGCGCCAACCCGACGAGCAAGAGCATGCAGCACACTGCCAGCTTCACTGCAGAGCCCTCCCTGGGCTTCAAAAACTAGGGGCTGGTAGAAGACGCCTGCCGCAGCACACTTGGCTGCCGTCTGTTGGTGAGCACGTTGCAGGTGGCGTAAGCACTCGAAGCGGCCCCAGGCGATTCAAAGGTCTTTGGCCAGTGGGACGGCCCAGTGGCGTTGATCACGGCAATGCCCAAGGCTGTCTGCGGCAAATGGTGTGGTTGGCTTCCATCAGGCAGCCGGTCGGCAAGGCCGGCCCCATGGCACACCAGGAGGTCAGCAGGCCGGCGACGGCCTTCAGGAATGGCAAGATCCTGAAGGACCCCAGGAGCCTCAGCTGTAGGCCGCATACCAGCTCGTTCACAATAGTCCTGTACAACATGTCTCACAGTGTTGTGTACCAAGATGGCATCACCACCAGCCATGCAGGAGAGCGCATGGCGGCCCAAGCGATCCATAGGAAGACCACACATCCCACAAGGCAGAGTACCATCGCAAGCATCGACACCCAAGCGGGAGGCCACACACGTGGTGAACTCGGCTGGTGAGAGGTGTAAGTCAAGTGCTCGAGAAGGAACTGTCTCAAAGAGGTGGCCCGCCAAAGGGGCAGAGTAGGAATGAAGTCGACAAATGTCATCAGGGGGAGCGGCTTGTTTCCAGAGGGCCAAGGTTGCAGCTTCACACAAACGGCTGAGCTTCCGCTGGGTCAGGGCGCGGTCAGGCTCCTCAACATTGACCAAGGTGGCAACGATAAGAGGAACAAAAATATTGATATTACCCTTGCGCAAAAAAAACAGTTTTACAGCGGCTCAACTCCAAATTTCAGCATTTGCCATTGCCTCCACGTGGTTAGACAGTGGCATCAATCCAGATTTGATTTGTTTCTGACACTGGTATCATGGTTCAATTCCGGCTAAACTACAAATGGCAGCTGTGCCTCAAGGCAGACGGTTCGAAGATGGTTTAGAGTGGCTTGAATCCAGTTTAAATCAAAGTGTTTAGTCTTTAGCATTCAAACTAGTGACTAGTTAGTCCTAGCATTCTTTTCGCAAGTCTTTGCCTGGCAACTAACTGGTCTCCACTCTGAAGTGTAACTCCTGCGGTCTTGGTTTTCAAACGTCTGGACTGTGGAGTTTCATAGATTGCTTTTTGGAGAAAATGGGTAGCAGAAACCGGCTATCCTTAGTCCTTAGCTTCTATTCTTTAGCTCGCCCTTACTTAACTAAGTAGGCGCCTACTACATATATGGATGCAGGATAACTCGCGCTTCTTCAAGGAAGCTCCCCCCGCGCGAGGGCGGGGGGAGCTTCCTCGAAGAAGCGCTCGCACAGCTCATTTGGTTCCTAGGTATTTAGGGAAACTTGAGTTTGCGTATGGCTTCGCAAAGTCCTCAGAGGCTCAAGGCCTCCCTCCTTATCCTCCAGGATGCAAGTGGTTCCAGTGGCTTAGGCTGGACTCTGTTGTGGCCGGTGCAGCGGGCTCACAGGAAGATGCCGTTGGTGATGGTATGAAAAGAGCGCAAAAGTAGAAGAACACAGGCGCTCGCCAAGCTTGGAAAACTATGGCGAGTTTTGAAACCAGGGATGGTTTGAGGGCTGCTCGGAAGTGGACTCGAAAGCAGGGTGTAATCCATTGGCCTTTTTCCACCGGCAGCCAAAAATACCCAAAAATGATGCAATGCATCTTGGCTCGGTGAACACAATGACTGTTCGAAACAGTTTTGTTTTTTGTATTTTCTCCAAGAGCTCTCCGGTGTTGGATCTTATGACCTTACAGTGGAAAGAGGGTTTATCTTGGGCCATGAAGGATCTTCCATCTTTATTCGAGGGCAATAATTCCTCCCATTTCCGAAATAAGAGCATGCAGTACCTCAACAATATGTTTCCCTCTTCCTCGGGAGATGAGCTCGCACTCCAAGTCAGTGCGCAACTTCTTCTTCGTCCCATTGTGGTCCACAGTGAATCCGAGATATAATTTAGGAACTGTTGCACATGCAGGCAGTGCAGTCAGACTCGGGAAAAGACTGCCCACCGGAGATCACACGCTGAGGTTGTGGAATACCGGAACAATCCAAATCCACATCAGACGTTGCAAAAACCAGCACTTCAAACGCCAACAAGGTTAGGGACATGGCTATTCTCGATAGAAACGTTTTGTAAACTGTTCTGAGTTTATTTATCTGTTACCTGTTGCTAACATATTTGATGTTTCTTTCGCTCTGGAATTGGTTGCGCCAGTGGTGCCCCTCACGCGGAAGGATTTTCTGGCAACTTCTCGGGAGCAAAGGGGGTATTCTTTCGGACCCACGGGATCGAAAAGAGGACCCGACAAATTAAGCTACTAGGAGCAAAGGGCATCACTACTAGGAGCAAGGACGCTAGCCCTACAAGCTATACAGCAATGGCCTTCAACCTAGAAGTGGTCGCCTCCACCCTGTTAGCGATGGCCTCACACCTACTAGCCCGATAAAGAAGCGGTCAAAACACTTGCCACCACTATACTGTTTGCACTTCGGTTAAGAAGTTCCGCGGACGTCAAACATATGTTTGTAGTACTTACTTAATGAGTAGGCGACTGTTTTATTTCAAGGCTTGCGCCTAACAGCCGGGCGCCGGCCCACTTGGGTCTGTGTAGGGCTGGGTCCTGTCTCTCTCTCTCTCTCTCTCTCCCTCTCCTCTCTCTGTCTGTCTCTGTCTCTGTCTCTGTCTCTCGCTCTCTCTCTCTCTTTGAAACTGTGTGGGGCCTATGTTGCCACATCTTGAGGCAATCTGGGCCCATCTTGGGGCTATGTTGCCCATATCTGGGACCTATGTAGGGCCATTTTGCGGCTGTGTGCCATATCTGGGACCTATGTTGGGTCCTCTTGAGGGCCTCTGTCAGATCATCTTGGAGCATATTTTCCGCCTTTGCTGTTAGGGCGTGCCCAGCACCCCCAAAATGTCGATTAAGTCTGTCCGCCCGGCGCGCATTACCGACACACCCTTGAAAAACACAGCGTTTTTGCATGTTTTTCCTCTTCGCCGCGTCGCGCTTTGATATGCGCAATAAACCCTGTAAAACACAGTGTTTTTTATATCTCACACACGCGAAACACTGTAAATTACAGGGGCATCAGTGACGAGGGGGTCCGGACCCGAGGGTCAGCTTCGGTTACCACCGAAGGCCCTCCGGGCAGGGCACGGGCTTCGTGGCCAGCGCCCGGATTAAGTAAGGGCAGTGGACGCAGGATAGCTCACGCTTCTTCAAGGAAGTCACCCCGCCCTTGATGTTTTTTCTCCATCAAGATTGATGTCTTAGAAGCATGCGTGTCAATGCCCCCCCAATGCCCCCTCTGCTACGTGCAACCAATGATCAGAAGCCTGCGGTCATCACTGCCATTCACTGCCCATCCGCCGCACACGCAGGCACGTGCAGGAGTGCGCGTCGTGTAACATCGCTCTTGCGTCCTAATATGTGGAACATTGCTCCTAGTAGCGATGCCAGAAGCCCCTAGTAGCGTCCTTGTTCCTAGTAGAGTGGTCCTTTGCTCCTAGTAGCGTCCTTGCTCCTAGTAGCGATGCCCTAGTAGCTTCTTGTTACTAGTAGCACGAATGCTCCTAGTAGTACGGCCAGAGGATTTAGGCTCGAGCCCACCGTCCCAGAGGGGACCTGGCGATCCCGTTGCTCCACACACTGTGGAGTGCAGATCGGGCCATGGCATATAGCTGCTTGCCGATTAACGCGACATTCTCACAGAGATCGACATGGAGAAAGGTGACACGCCTTCAGATCACGCCTACTAAGACCTTACAGCGCAATGTGGACTTTTCCATTTTGGAGACTGTTGCAGAAGGCGGCGTGATCTTGCACCTCAAGATCCCTAGACAGTTGCTGCATCTTTTCCATACGGCAGATGCTTCGGTGTTTTTCGCATGGTATGATTGCGGCAGATTACGCTTCGGTTGTCAGCATTCAAGGGGTTCTCCTGCCGAAGATGCATTTCTGACACAGGACCAGTCTAAGCTCAGCCGGAGTTCTTTCGACCCAGACTATAGGCCCCTACCAGAAGTTTTTGAACCATGGGCTCAACTTTGGGCTTCTTCGGAACAGTCTGCTGGATACGGTTTAGTGTCGCAGCCCGATGCTCTCCAGGAACCATGGATGGAGAGGACCTTTGACCGTGACATGTTTGATGCTCCGTCTCACATGGCTATGGAAGGCAACGTTCCTTTTGCATCAGCAACACTCAGGGGCTATCCGGCATCTACAATCACATCAGGCTGTCATCCAGAGCTTGACGAGTTCCCGGAGCCGTGGGCGTATGATTATGTCCCTAAGGATAGCGAATCCAGCCAGACCGTACATCATGACATTGACGACACCTTTCCAGAATGGTACAACCCGCATGAAACTACTTTCAGTACTTCTGCTGGCATTATCCACCGCTCTGGACCTTCGTCTATCCGAGTCGAGACAGACATACCGAAGCAGTTGTCACAGATCCCAGCAGTTTTGCATGCATGCCAAACATCTCTGAGTGGTTTTTGCCACTGGTTTTGTTCGGCCAAGACCAGTTTCGTGCCAGGTACATTCCCTGCCGATGTTGCAGACCCCAACAAGTCATTACCACAAGGTATTGCAAGGCTATCGGACAATAGTGTAAACTCACCGACTGATTTTCTGGGCAGCTGTCATTCGGTCGAAGAAGACAAAGCTATTTCTCCTTGCACTAGTGCCGACAAGGTTTGCCATACGGAGTTGCAGGGAACTCGAAATGATAGGACAGACTTGCCGCCACAGCTTCATCAGGAGACCAGATGTTTCTCCAGGGGTCAGACTTGTCTGAGTGGTATTTACCATT